TCAAGTAACCATTATGTATTTACAATATCGTATTTCAATCTGTTAAGTTAAACTGTACATTCACTTATCAAATGTCTAAATGACATTTATCACTGTATCGAATTTTTGCAATGCAGTGATAAATCTCATAAGAAAAATTATTATTACATTTCGTATGTTCCATTATTATTATTATCATTATTATTATCATTATTATTATTATTATTATTATTATTAATGACTTGTTAGACATGTAAGTCTTCATTATATGACGTTGTTTTCTGTACGGAATCGTTTACTGAAACCGTAAATTTGAAAAACTTGAAAAGCTGTTGGCAAGGTAATTAATTGAGCGATGATAATTATTAATCTACAGCTTAATTACTATGGAATTGTGAAGACCGATCAGTGTCTGTTCACTTGACCTGAGCAATAGAAATTATCTTGTTGTACTAGTGAACTGATCTTACTACATTTCTCTACTGTACCTAGTAACCAAATCATATGAATGTAAAATGGATTATTGATGGTTTCATGACTCCTACTTAAAATGGGAACAAGAAATTCAAACAAAATTTAAATCAAATTGTGGGTGGCCCTGAAAAGGGCCTTTACTTGGTCTCTACACAGCTCCTTCGGTCCTGATCGATGACTCCACTATGAGTCCGTGACAGCACCGCACATGGGACAGTTGAACCCAGGTGATACTTCTGTTGGGTCGTAGGCACAGAACGAATGAAACATAGCGTTGCATGGACAAAAAATCCAAGCACCTCCATCAGCTAGTTCACTGGGCGGCTGACAAAGATGGCAAATATCACACAGTCGGTCATTGTGCACACGTCCGTCTTCTTCATTGTCTCGGTCCGTAAACTCTTCTGAGTTCATAGATATTACTTTAATCTCGTCATCATTTAAGGTAGCATCCAAATCTACGTTCTGTTGACGGTTGGTGCCTGTGGTATTTCGGACGACGAGCATTGTGATGGTAGTAGGTAATCCATCGTTAAGCAACTGATGAGCATAGTTAAGTAGAGCGGTATGCTGTTCAGCAGACATACGCCAACACAAGTAGTGAATCGATGTTTGGACGTTTGTCTGCCCGACTTGTACCGGTAACTCATTGCCAATCGTTACTGTGGTTACGTAGCTGTTGGAATGCTGTCACCAATGCTTTCTCTGTGAACTTCGACATTATCGTGCGAACAATATGCCAAGATGTGACGACATACGACTCTGTGTTCTACATAAAAGAAACAGGAACAACTAATAGGATTTTTGGAGACTGTGTAAGTTCCTGTAGTATCAACGGCCGTGAAAAACTCCCCCGACAATACGTAGTCAGTAACAGGAACACGCATGTGCCGCTTAAGCAGTTGACATGCAGCAGGTGTAAGTGTTTCCTGAAGACGACGTAGTTGAGGCTCGCGACCCAGCACAGCCCTGCTACGGCATTCAGTGGAGTACTTTTGAACTCTAGCTTCTATCCAATATCCAGTGCGAAGCAGAACACTAAATATCGATCTGAACACGGGTGTTTTTCTGTTCAGCTTATGCAACTTTAAAATTCGATGGGTCGTCTCAACGAAATTTGTATTGCTTTGATCTAGAAGCATTGCAGCTGGTCTAAAAGCATTCGACCACCTGTGCTTTTTGGACAATAACTGATCTCTCAAATATTGATAGAAATTCCCGTCTGCTGCTTCGATAAATGACACATACCGTTGGAAGCTACAATACATTGTAAAGCATATTTCGATTTACCTTTCCACATTTCTTGTTAGCATAAGACGGTAGAACATTTGAAGAAGATCAGATCGTAGCCTCTACGAATGCGATGAATGGGTTAATTGTTAAGAGAGGAAAGCTTACCCTCTTGATGACATTTCGAAGAAGGTGCACGCGGCACAAAAGGTGGTGTGAATTGGGATACACCTGCGTTATGGCAGCAGCTATAGCAGGTGAATCATCGGTAACAATACCGATAACCTCTCCATTGTTACTCATTTGGCGGAAGAACGAGAGGAAACTGGACAGCAAAGTCGATGTTTCGCGACTTATAAATGCAATACAAACAGGTATTGCCATGAAATTCATGTCCAGAGCCACCACGTGATAAAGAAGCATGTTTTCATTATTGGTTTTGTATGTCCCATCAAAACCAACAACATCTAAAAACCTGTTACACAGATTGATCTGGTCTGCTGTGGCGAAGAAGAAGTACAACAGACTATGATCTGCATCCAATTGATAATCACAAAGGCCACCAAGTGACGTGATTTTTCAACTTACCGTAATCACCTACAGTTAATAGTATAAATATGCACATTGCTTACCAGGAAGGTTGGTCTGTGAGAACACTTTGTAACGCATATTGAAAACATCTTGAGCTGTAAGACGTTTCCCATATGATTGGTACGCGTAGTGTATCACATTAAATGCTGATGTTCCAGATATCAGCAGTGGCTTCACTGATTCCAATTCCGCCGCCGTTAATCGGCGCATCCATGTGTTACAGTCGTACCTCAGGGAATTGCACTCGTGATTGTGATGCACATTCCCACGAACAACAGTCCAATAACCTTCAAGAAACTTACAAATGATGAAGGCCGGACATTGTGTGTCCATTGAAGTCCTCAATGAACAATATAATAACACTAATCAAATTACCTCCTTCGTCTAATCGGCTGCGAAGAACCGCTTGGTGTTTTATAGCTCTTTCTCCAACATACAAATTTAATATACGGCTTCCGATCTCCATGGAAATGAGAATCTCTCACCACATAGTGGCAGTACTTTGCTATTTCATAAGTTCTAATGGCGCTCCTTAACGCTTCCAATGATGGAAACGCTACCAGATACAATGTATTCAGAAATGCATTTTCCGTTTCTGTGACTACGTGAGGAACATCAGAGCCTCTAATTTGCACGTTACTGACGTCCATATTGTGAAGAAAATTATCTATATCGATAAGTACAGAGCTTTTATACGAATTTCAAGAATTAGATAACCAATTATAACGCATTTACAACTAGGAATTTCATTGGACGAAACGGATTGAAAAAAATTGGAAAATGGGATGAAAATTTTTTGATTAAGGGGGACAAAAAAAATTTATTAAAAAAAAATCGACGTGATCCTAATGTTATTCAATTTGATGACCACTCATCATTAGATGTTTTGCAATGGACGAGGCTGGGTTTCTTGATCGATCTTGAGATGACGGGCTAGGTGGATGAATCATGGATTTGATTAACCATCTTGGAATATGTTCCCCTATCCTGTCCTCCAATCGGCGATCTGTCCTACCTAAGTAACCTTCTCCGCAGTTACATGTAAATTGGTAAATACAGTGGGATTTGGACTGAATCGATCTTGGAGACTTGATTGGGTTAACTGAGATCGATTGAGTTGTTGTGATAAGCCTCAGATTAGCTGCATTGAAGGTCTTTTTTATTGCAGCTGCAGTCTGTTTGGTTGTAATTTTCATGCAATGATCACCCTTGAAAGGTAACTGTAGGTATACTGGTTTCTTGGGCACATCCGTTGCTATCAGTTTAGTCGTATTTGTGTTCTGATGACCAATAAACGTTTCAGGATATCCGTTTAATTTAAGTGTCTCAGTAATAAACTTAAATTCGTCGTCCAATGTATCTACAGTGCAGATTCTACTTGCCCGAGCGAATAAAGTTTTGACAATAGAACGTTTATATTGTATGGGGCAGAAATTAGTGAAGTGGAGGTAGTGTCTCGACCAGGTGGGTTTGCGATGTACTCTGCGTCTGATCGATCCGTCTGGACGGCGATGGAGCAGGATGTCGAGGAAAGCTAGTTCATTATTGTTTTCTTCCTCATAAGTGACTTTCAGATTCGGGTGAATTGCATTAAATAAATCATTGACTTGATTAATATCTGTAGACTGTCGTAATATGACAAGAATATCGTCGACATATCGTTTGTAAAGTCTAATACCATCAATGAAGTGACTCACTTGCCTTTTTATCATTCCCATGAATATGTTTGCTAAAACAGGTCAGAGAGGGCTTCCCATAGCCACTCCATCGATTTGCATATATGCTTTACCTTGGAAATAGAATTTTATATTCTTTGTGCACAGCAAAATTAGATCTCGAAGATAGGTAATAGGAATGGATATTCTTATGTTATGTGAAGTTATGAAATCACAAATAAATTCCACACTTTCTTCGAGAGGTACATTTGTGAACAAAGAGTTTACATCGAAAGAACACATCCGACTATTAGAAATATTCAAGTGTTCCAAGGTTGGGAGAAGTTCAAAAGAACTCCCTGACGAGAAAGCACGAAATGGTATTATTAATATTGATTGTTCAACAAATCTACTCTTCAAATCACCTCAACTAATGAATAATCAGCACAGGCTGAACCCCTCTTAGCAGATTAACATAGACTAAATGAAAGACAATAATAATAGCCTATTCTTACACTTTACATGATACCACATATTCCCAAAATAATAGACAGCATGCTTCAGTTGTCTCTAGGACTCATATGTTAAAGCTCGTAACTCGTTACAGCAAGCAACTTGCCAAACTTGATTACCGATTTACTAGCTTACTCCATGATTCATGAAAATGCGCGATACGATTTTATCTGAAGTTACTCATGCTAAATACACTGAGATAGCATATCTCTACTCATAAAAACATTTTGTACATTCCGTTTTATTATAGAGATGCAACAATCGTCCGTAAATCTTACGGTTCAAAGTTTGAAAACTTATTCACGATTTGGAGCATAGTTACGTATTTCAAGATAAATCAACCACTTTTGACTTTGACACTTTTGGGTGTAACTTGTAGTGTTTGATTTTAAGCATAAAATTGACAATCTTATACAAAAATATATACTTATATATAGGTTGAGCATATGTTATTGAAAAATAAATTTTGTAAGAAATGAAGATTTAATCAAAGTACAATGAGCAATCAAAGCTTGAATGTGAATAGGCTGATGAAAGGAGAAAGTAATGTCAACATACCAGACACATTCGCACCGTTCATTATCCCAGTTACACCAGAAAATAATACGGAGAAAACAATGACGAATGACGTCAATAAACCAGTAGTATAATCAATTGAATACATAGCTAAAAAAGTGCAAAAATCCAGAAATACAATGGTTAATATATAAACACATATATAACTCTTCTAGTTGTAGTCATCATTTAGCTAAAACTATCCACTTCAACCTTTGCGTTGACACCTACATCACTAAGTTTGTCTGTTCTTGTGGATCTGTCTGTCGAAGAAAGACTTTTCAACTTTGAGTGTGCGGATGATATTGTCTTACTGTGAGACGATGCCCAAGCCATGCAATCCGCACTTAATCAGTTGGCAACCAGTGGCCATAGGTATGGCATGTGATTTGCAACCCCACCCAGCTATATGAAAAGTACTGTTACAAGACTAGCAGGAATCTGAACGTCCAATCACTCTTGGTAATGAGAATTAAGAAGTAGTCGAGAAGTTCGTGTATTTAGCTAGCTGCATAAATGCTAGTGGTGGCGTGAGTTTTAAGACCAATTCACGTATAGCGAAAACCAGAGAGGCTTATGCCGATGTTGTGTTGTGATGTTAGTCTGGCTGAATGTTGCATCGTTGTGAGCAGTTTTGCTTGCAAAACGTAACGTCCTAATTGAGTATATTAGACAACTCTGTGTTTAATCGTCGTTTCCTCCGAAGGATTGTTGACATCCAGTACCAACACCATGTCAGTAATGCAGAGATTCGGAAACGTACAGAGATGATAATTCCGTCGGTGTCACCATCTTGAAACACCGACTTCGGTAGTTCAAATATATATATATATATATATAAACTCATTTTTACGTAGCAAAATCGTGTACACTCTGAGTAATCGAAGAGTTTAGATAACATATGAACATCAGTAACTAATTTTAAAATCAAAGAATAAGAAAAAGTAGAAAATTCGTGAGTGAGAATATCTGTAGCACCGTCGTGAAACATAACCATATAAACTCTCTAATTGCCGATCTATGTAGTTTTAGGAATACCAAACACATAGATCATATACTAAACATTCATTTCTTTGAATCTTTTATATATAAAAAGAACGTTCGCAGTGTTAATAGGACCAATTTCTAACAAATTAACAACACACATATAAACTTAGCTAATAATGTGAAAATGATTCAAACAAACTAGTTATTTTTCTGTTAATCATGGAGATAATGATAAAATCGTCTCATAAGAAAATCAAATATATATGATATGTGCTTCCTAGAAGACAGATGTACAGGTAATTATGTTTTCACTTATGTACTACGTTTCAATTGTTGTCTTAAAATACAAACTGTAATCATATTCGCATTTCCATAGAGCCGTTTAAAATGGCGTCAACCGAAAAGTTATAGATAAGAAAATTCAATGCCAAAAAAGATTTTATTTTATATCAGATTTCTTATCAGCGGAAGATTGTATCTAATCGATAAGATAACAATGAAACAAAGTCAATCTATTTTGTCATTTTGTGAATTTAACTTTTATTTACCTACAAAATCCATGAAATAGTAGTCTGTGACTTCAGGAATTACTATCAAGGATTTTTACATCTTATTTCTGCTCCCCCCAGAAAATTATTTTCGGTAAGACAAATGTTTATTATGTGTTAAGCTGACTACAGCTTGATTGATAAGTAACATACAATAATCTAGAGATAAATGGAAAAATTATTAAGCAAATGATCAGTGTAGATTTCATGAAAAATAATACACTTAGTGCTTATAAGCTTCTAGTTAATATGATAAAATCGTGACTACAAGTGTTTTGAATAAGATAAAATGAAGCACGGTCCACCGATATATAAGGAACAGTGGCTTGCCGATTATAGCACTGAGCTTCTAATCACCGTGTCAGAGATAATTATATGAAGTATAGGCTTGATTGAACTAAAAATTTTCAACTTACATTTAAATTCATTTATTTATTTGCCGATACGCACAGTTGAAAACCGGTCGTCTCTTAAAATCTAAGGCTATATTAATCAAGATAGTTTCAGAAAATTAACACTGAGCTATATAAAAGTATGGTAACTAAACTTAAAAAGAATCTTACTCATGGCACGATTACCACAATTAACCCCTAGATTACTAGCTTAGTATAGAATATCAAATAAATTGTATCCAATTTTGATAAGATTGAGATTTCTTTCCTGTTTCGTTACAAATACATGAGTAGAGTCATTAGAAAGCAATGTTTATGTGAAACAGAATAAGTAACTAATCAATATACATTACAAAATAAACATTGCTCTGGAATAAAATTGATTGATAATATGGAATTATACAAATATCGAGTGATAATTAGAAATATCATTGTTGAAAGCGTGAGTCAATTGAAGCTAGACCACCATGGAAAACCTGGAAACACTGGACGGCCGTTTCGTCCTATTATGGGACTCCTCAGCAGTGCGCATCCACGAACCTGCTCTCGCGAGCGAGATTCGAACCCAGTGTTTCCAGGTTTTCCATGGTGGTCTAGCTTCAATTGACTCACGCTTTCAACAATGATAAATACTAAATCTCCAAAAAACCCCTTCTATAATTAATATAATAATATGCTCACTAGTGATTTCGAGAAGTATATCTAGGAGCTCTAGTGAGAAGCAGTGACCAGTGGAGTTCAAAACCACGTCTGTTGTGAGATAGGAACTCACTGAAGACAATTGGTGAATGGTTGCTCAACTTCGTGGATCAGTTGAAGTTAGACATTAACACCGTTGGATGCCAGCTCAGTGGTCTATCGGTTAAGGGCTTCGGCTCGAGACTGGTAGGTCCTGGGTTCGAATCTCGCTCGCGAGAGCAGGTTCGTGGATGCGCACTGCTGAGGAGTCCCATAGTAGGACGAAACGGCCGTCCAGTGTTTCCAGGTTTTCCATGGTGGTCTAGCTTCAATTGACTCACGCTTTCAACAATGATAAATACTGAATCTCCACAAAACCCCTTCTATAATTAGAAATATAACCAACAACAACAGGATATTCACACGTATCTTCAAAATCAGAATAAAATTAACTTACGATAAAGATTTTCTTTGAATGTATTCCCATTTAGGCCACTAAACTCGGCAAATATAGTTACATTATTTGGTGTTGATGAATTATAGATAAGCGAATTAGATCTTGGCAAAGGTATTAATTTTGGTTGTAGAAAGAAACTAGCAAATACGCATATAATAACAATAATCACAACCTGTAACAAATTTTTTTAAAAATAAATACAAAGTGTTGTGCATAGTGTATGTTATTGAATATGTTCAAGTTATTTTATGAGAAAAGAAATATAAGACACATATATACAGCATTTAATTATTTGTTTAATTCATGCAAAATCTAGTACAAATGACTACTAAAACAGAATGTGCTACATAAAATAAAATACATGTTACACAAGATACTGTCGAAACGTCCAAACCGAAGCAGGACGTTTTTTTGACGGATGGCAACCTCAAACTCTAAACAGATCGTCACATATACAGGGAAATAGATCAACATTAAGAAACGCAACCCCATGGTAGCCAGTGACTAAAGATATTTTCATAAAATATAGGATCCTAAAACCTATGTATACTAATGGTTTGGAGAATGCTCCAACTCCACGAAAATCTTCCATATATATCAACCCTGTTTAAGGGCTCGACCTGCACCTCTACTACGTAAAGACAGTGAGCATGAATTCCCAAACAGAAGGTTCAAACGCAAGGCCAGACGATAGCATCCCGAAAAGGAGAGCGGAATCTTTCTACACCTGCCAGGGCATTTAGGCCATATATCGTATGGGGAGAATGAAGTAACTACCTTGATTCAAGATTATGCAATACTTCACGTTTTCATGGTTTACCTAAAATACATAAACCAGACATCCCTCTAAGACGTATAGTAAACTTCACGAACACACCAACATGTACATTGTCGAAAATATCTAAGCAGCGTATTTAAGCCACTACAACTAAACTTACATAATATGATTAAAAATCCCTATGACTTTAAATCAAAAATATCGGAATTAGTTATCAAAAAGAATGAAATCAAGGTAATCTTTGATGCTGTTTCATTCTTATTGATAAATGCTTAGAATCCATCAGTGGTTTACTAGAGAACGACAATACTCTTTCTAACAGATGACTTCTAAGCATTAGTCTAATCATAAAATCCTTAAAACCCTGCTTAAATTCGACACTATTTACTTTTGACGGGACATTATACAAACAAAATAACAGTGTAGCAATGGGATTTCCCGTACCCCCGATTGCAGCCAACCTGTTTATGCTACACATAGAATCAAATATTTTCGCCAACAACATTCTACGACGAATTTGACTTAGATATGTAGATGATACCTTTATTGTGATAAAAAAGACTCAGTTTAGATCTTTTCCGAAACGGATCAAAACACTTTCATCGTACATCAAATTCACGAACGAGAATGAAAACGAACATGGTGAGCTACCACTTTTAGATTGCTTACTGAAAAGAAATCTAAATGGAATTTTAAATCTATCCGTCTGCAGTAAACCTACACACTAATCGTTACATTGATTTTAATTCAGCACATCCTTTGAGTTCAAAGATCTCGCTTGCCCTAAATCTTTCTAGAAAAACTGACGAGATTATCACATCGGAAGAGGATAAACAAAAAGAACAAAAGAATATAATCAGCATCTTACAATTTAATAGTTTTCCCAAAAAGATTATTAGAAGCATATTAAAACAAGACGTTTCATTGCGTAATAATAATAATGAAATACCATGGATTGGTACCACAGTTTTACCATACCGTCATGGCACAACAGAAGAACTTCAAAGAATCTTGAAACAACACAGAATTAAATTATATTAGAAAATGAGCACACTTCTAAATATTTTAGTTCTCTTAAAAGAAAAAGTCCGCTTCATGTCAACACAGAACTGCGTCTATAAATTAGGTTGTGTCGATTGTGATGCCTTCTATATTGGAGAGTCATCTCGTGAAATCTTGACTCGAGCCAGAGAACATATTTGATACACAAAGAAACCATCTTATAATACCGTCGAACTGAATAGACTTCAAATTAAATCTGCCGACCACTAAGTCGATTTCGAAAATTTCAACATATTACAAAAAGGTCAAATTCACTTGGTATTGTTTGTTTGAATCTTTCCATTGATATTTCGGACTGCAGTTGATCAGTGTGTTATTGGCATATGTGCATACTGTGCGAATTGCCTCGATATTGCCTCAATTGACAAGCATTATGGGGAGAGATGGATAGTGGCTAGCAGTGGAATGCAGGACGCGTTTTTCATCCTATTTGAGACTTGTCAGCTAGATGTACCTGCATGTCAGAGTTGATGTTCACTCTCAATCAGTTGCAGTCCTAAGCATCAATGGGGAGATTTGAGCAAACAATACCAAGTGAATTTAAACTTTGCGCCATCGCACAAGCAAGTGGCTATCAGGACTCAGTAGCTGAGTGGATAACATGATGGCTTTTGAAGCGAACGGTACTGGGTTCGAGTCCCACAGTGAACATCAACTCTGAGATGCAGATACATCTAGCTGACGAGTGCCAAACAGGACGAAAAGTGACTCCTGCATTCCACTGCTAGCCACTATACATCTTTGCATATTACAAAAATGTTTTCCAAATACAAAGAAAGGAGAGTGGCTGGAGCGTTCCATAAATTGCTTAATCCTACTGCTCTCAACAGAAAAGAAGGCCTGACCACACAACCTACTTGGACTATCCATCCTAGACACCTAGTTTGGTACTATTCACATTACTATATTACAAATTAAACTCTATCCTTTATCACCATAAATGTCATACAATTTTCATCCCTAATAGAATACACACACAAAATTACATATATGTCGCTTACGAATCATCTTAACCGAAATGGCATGACATCGATTTATTCAGACGTGTTTTTTGATTGATCACATAATAATCGTGTTGTGAAGTTGTACTGTTTAAACTTGGATTAATTTTGATTTGGTTTTTTATTCTCTGAAGAAGTGGCTTACACCGAGTCACGAAACGTCAGAAAATCAGATTTTTCTACTCATCGGGATATTACAAATATATTATTTATTTACAACTTGATTTAAGATGTTCAAGAATGTTATTCGATTTATTAATAGTAAAATCATAAACGACAGAATTGTGTAGTTCACATTACCAAATAAATAGGACATTCCCTCAACGATCATCACCTATCAGGGAAAAGAAATGGCAATCAACAAAGTCATCTTTTGACGTATAATCTTATCCTGTTTTCAGTGTATTCCCATTGCCATAACAACAGAACTTAATTAGGCTTTAAAATAAATACAATGAAGACTAATTAATTTATCACATATTAGAACGCAAAATTAGGTCGACATTCCAAGATTTATCTGAGTTACTATTATTATCCGAATTAGTGTTATGTAAAATTTTACATATGGTGAATTAAAATGATTAGTTAATTTATGAGTATGTCTCACAATAAATACCCCCAAATGCCCTGGTACGGCCGAGAGTGGGGAGAGTCCGCTCTCCCTCTCGAAATGCTCTCACATGGCCAGCGAATATATAGCCTCTACCAGGGAAGTCCTACTCATTGCCTTCTCGTGGCGTGAGTGTTGTTTACGAAATTGAGAGGACGAAAAGCGAATGTCCGGCGCTTTAACCGGGTTGGTGGAAAAGGCGAGTCCACCCACGGGAGTTGGAAAACCCTGATTCCAAACCAATGGTGCACATGGGCTCCAGTATCCTGAGGGAACAAATGGCGTACGAATCAATCGTTGATCACCGGCTACCATGGGACTGCATCTCCTCATGATGCTCCACTGCCTTGTGGGTTAGACCTTTGTGTCAAAGGCTCGGAGTGTGGTTCCCTAAGAAAACCACCTGCTTCAGTCTGGGCACCTGGGCAGTATCACAGCCCTCATACACAAATAAATGAATAGTGTGGCGCATATGTATCTGGTGCCTCTTTGTACCAATATTTATGTGTTTAAATAAAAAAACTCATTTAAAAAGGAGTATTAACACAATGATTTAGATCTCAACCCAGACATCAAATCTTTCTTAACACACAATGATTTAGCATCGTTTGCGAAGTAATTGAATATATCACATAGTGAAGAGAATGATATAAACTATATAATTTTAAGTAGCGTGTTTAAAGCAAAGAAGTATTTTAGAAACTTGGTCTACCAGATCTAGACAGATTGAAATCTGCATAGCGAATAAAGACTATCCGTCAGTCTTGAAACACTTTTATTGAGAAACAGAATATGAAAGTATGCAGATAACGTCTTTACGGAACTCGGTAAAGCAATATGAAACAATCAGATCATTTACAATAAACAATCATAATATAACTAAACTATGGTTTGGTGTCAGACAACTAATGAATAAATTACATTCCAACTATTTTGTTCTATAAAAACTAGACCTTGAGTAATCTGTAGTTTACAGCCGGAAAAATTACGTAACGCTAAGAATGGCAATAACAAATACAAAATCGATCTAACAAATAGATCGATACAGACGATAAAGTGACACATAAACACATACATTTGAGCGAAAACGGATACCAATGACGAAAACAATGATAGAATTTTACAGTGTGCCACCTTTAAAACATTTTCAGTAAGATAAAAACATAATTTTTCTGATTTTACTAAACATAAGTTGATTTGCATAAAACTCCAAAGCTGAATAGATTTTTTATGATTCATCTTAACATCTAAACAGCAAATTGTTTGATAGTTCCTACTTCCTAAATCCTATTCGCTGATACGACTGCGCGTTAGTATGACTTCTATTGAAAAAAAGATTAAGTATTCCTAGCTTAAAGATGAAAGGTATACATATGTGGTATTGCACTACATGTACCGTATAGTAGTAACTCCGACTGCTAACAAACAGACAACGGTTGTGACGGGATAAAAATAGTTGCGTAACTTAATGCAGAAACTAGTTATTTTGCTAGTTCTAAAAACCTTCTCTGAAACTACTCAAAAAAATCCACATATATATAGAATTTCCGATCTAGTACAATAAGACTGGGTTGCAGTAGTAAACAAATCTGACCATCACAACTAAACAACTACAGTTGGTGGAGTAAATGAATACGAAGCCATATCAATATTATAAAAAATCATAAACAATAACTTGAAATCTAATTGTTCTACTAGTTTAATGGGCGACAGATATTTTACACTTAAAACTACCACTACACATTACTTTATCATTAAAATAATAAAAATGCTCGTAATACAATAAGAATAATATCTGTATTTGCAGAAATGTCCTTTGAAACCATCTAAATTTAACAATTTCGAAAAACACTATCAACTAACTATTTATTATTCACAACACTATGGAAGAGAGAGGGAGGATGAAACAACTTAAATAGTTAATTACAATTTTTAAAAAAAAACACAAACAATACACCAAACAACAATAAAATATGGACTATTTGGAAAATAACATTTAACACTATGGAGTGTATAACATATTATTATCATTACTAAAAACAGTAATCTCAATAATATACAAGTACTTATGAAATAATACAAAGTTCATATTACAACCTTTCTCTCCTCAGAAAAATCTTTATTCATAGTCTACGCCTAAGAATAGAGGAATAAGTACCTGTTTACAAGAAATATCACACAAATATAACTTAATCACTGCATTATACTCTACAGCTAGCTTTACAAGGAATTTATAAATATTCACAGTGAAATGAACTTATAAGAATTTGATCATTAATTGTTCAAATCATAGAACTATAAATTTAAACATCTAAGGTTTGTGCATATATGCAGAATTACAAAGCGGGACACATCAAGTGTGTTTAATGGATTACCGAATGAGTATATAAGTAGCTGTTAGGTTACATTCATTTTATTCTGTTGGAAATTTGTCTACACAAATATTCCTGCTGATATTTGTAATACAATTAAGTAAATTTGATCCTCTAAGCGGTTTCAAAGTGGTAACGATTACAAATGGTAGTAAAGTGAAGAACTGAGAAATCGTGGTACATATTCATAAATGAGGAAAATGCTACACTGACATCAAACGTAGTAAAATAATTCAAAAACTTAAGAAAGATGTGAAAGGATGAAATTATTTCATGGGGATCAATATCGAATTATCTTACTTGCAATCTTTACAACCTTATCTATATCATACTATCTTAGTAGAAATATTCGTGAGAAAGTGATTCATGGGAAACTCTTTGTAATAGTTAAAAAGGGTTGAGTTTGTGAGGCGCAGACATGAGTCCTTTGAAATCACATCTCTTTGGTAACTTCTCATGGTTGATAATGTTCATTTTTACACGATTGTTTGCATTAAGTGGCAACTGTATGCAATTAGTGCTGAGATTCAACACTGTGAGTGTGGGAATAGTCAATATCATTATTCAGTTGCTAAGTTCACTTTGAACACATTGGCTTAGGTATATTTTGATTACGAAATATCAGTAGATTTCATTTCGACAGCTGTTTGTAAATGTTAAGAACAGTCAAAAGAACTTTAGCCTCTATGAAACAATCTTACTTGAGTTACATAGGTCGGTCATAGAATTGCCTAGAAAAAGAAATCGACATTTGAAACTTATGTCCTTAAAGACAACAATTTGAAAGTAACCTAGAATCATACAACTAACATAAGAAGGTATTTTCATCTCGTGGAAAACAATAAAAAATACAACTAGATACGTTATGATCAAATTCCACTTAAAGTTGTATCTTTTTTCTTTAGGGTATTTAAAGGTTGGAAGAAAGCTAGGGGCGGCCAGACCAAAACGTGGCATAAATTCATGAAGTCGCTGACAAGTGGACTGAGTCATGTTGGTAGGTGTAGACTACCTGGTTGGGATCCGCGAGATGATAGCAATCGATGGTTAGAGACTTTGAATGACATGGCTCAAAATCGTATGCAATGGCGAAGGTGCATCCACTCTTTGTGTTCTGCCAAATTCTAATCTTCTGAATTCCTCATGTCCCTATCCTTTTTCTCTTTCCAAATTTATTTCACCGTATTATGCTCCTTCAATAACATCTTCAAACCCTTATCTTTCACATAATGCTTATACTCTTACTATCTCTACCACTATGGGATTTGAATCGACAACTTCATCTCTGTGCTAATGTGGTATGGCAACTCGAACTGATGTACGTACGTACGAAGTTCTACGTTGTGACTGACTTTAGGGTATTTGTTTTTTCTAAAACAAACGATCGATACGACTGACAAGAAGAGATTACAAAAATATGTTGAAAAGTTCCAAAATTTAAGATTTCTACAAAGACACGGTTTTTTACTCATAGAGTTCTAGATATCATGGTGTTGTTAATCAATGACACTAGAATTCAAACCGTGCTATATAGTTTAGATATTTTCTTAAACTACCCCCAAAACTCAGATGAAAAAATGATATCTAAATAAGCGATTAAATGCACCAAAGGGCATTTATCCTACTTAGGCTACTTTTAAGAAAATTCTCATGGTAAAACACAGACGGGAAAAAACGATTTCGCTTAATGAATTTAACATTTATTAAAGTTTGATAGTACAGTCAGAAGAATTTATGATTAAGAATTTTATATCACTAATGTGACATGTTAAACGAGTTAGAAATCAATTAATTATAGATATTCCAGTCAATACGTTAAGCTGACACCAATACCAGTTAATCTTATATCAGCCACCACATAATGAAGTTATGGTGAACTAACATGTTAAACCGTAACTTAAGTAGAAAATAATGAATTTGATAATCGTATTGTAGTGTATGCTACTTATGCTGACAGATATAAGTAATATACAGCCGCAATCGGAAGTGGAATGCCTGACAGCAGAAGATTGAATTGAAGAGAATAGAAAGGAAATCGGAGAACAATCAGAATAAAGAAAGAATTAGAGGAATAATGGAGTAGGTAAGATACAAAGTAAAGAAGATATGCAAATGATATATTTAATGTATGATTTTCATATTTCACAAAAGCACTCTGTAATTTTGCATTAAACAATAAATTGGTTTTCCCCATCCAAATTCATGTTCACTACAATATCATATAAATTGGACAATAAAGTATATGAAGCTAATAAATTTTAACCATAAGATACAATACTTTCACTTAGTGCATTAATATCATTACATTTTGTGAGTTATGAAAAAAACTCAGTGACAGTAATCCATTTTTAGCTTCGTTTCATCAACAGTCAATGTCATTAGAATAATCATCGAAAACGATTTCGTAATATTCTGACATTTCTTACAAGTATAGACTTCATAATCTTCAACACACAAACGAGAAACAATGTTATACTGAGAAATTCGCACGATTTACAGAACTATACTATGTTTAGACTAAAATCAATTAGATTAACTCCAGGTACAGGATAAATCGTCATAACTGAAAGTGAACACATGATAAAAATGAATAGAAAATTCAGTGAATAACCTTATACAACATATGTTCTCATACATGATAGCCGAATTGTCACTTCAATAAAATAAAGACACTTGGAGAGAAAATTATTAAAACTAAAAGCAATGTCATCAAATACCTAACTATATAAAAGTTTAGAAAGAACTGATCAGAAAATATCAACCTGTAATCGACCATCAAATAGTGATTTACATCAATATTTATTCGTAAATATATATTCATAAGATTGCTTGCTTGAAGATATAAATTGTAAATATTATTACGCTTTTCATCAGTCCTTCTAAAATATAACTCTATTTAAAATATGACATGTTCATGAATATGTGGATAATCAACCAACAACTAGATGAAAAACTAAGTGATATTTTAATAGGAATAATATATATTTGTAAAATCTCAGCGAATGAATTTGTAGTAAATCAAGGAATTAATTCCTTGAAAAAGCTTGGACCAGATTGCCAGGCGAAACGTTGGATTTACTACAAATTCATTCGCTGAGATTTTACAAATATATATCATTCCTATTTAATGTCTTACATCAACTCAGCGCTCAAATACTGTGAAACTATTCGCTCTAATTTAGACGAGAGTTCTTATATAAGTGATATTTTGCTATCAGATCTTGAAAAAAAATAACATCACATTGGTGTGAAAGTATGTGATGGTGTTATTTGTCTGATTTTCGTTCATGGCAAAAAATAATGTATACGTACAGTAACAATTTGAAGGATGTAGGTGTGAGCATTATGAGGAGGGAGCTTTAAACCGGGATGATATATTTTTCTAGTCCTTCCTGGGTTTTTTAACGCTTACTTAGTAGATATCAGATTGCAATGACGAATATCTTTAAAATGAAGACTGTTGTGTGGTTGGAAATGCACGGAAATGTACGGTACGGTTAGTTTAACCAAATTTGTGTACATTTCCAATATATTATTACTGAACTTCGCTGCACTATTCCATAAAGAAACAAATAACTAAATTCATAAATTTATAAGGGGGATTACTGTTCTAAGCACTAGATGTACTTAGGTTTCTATACAAATTACTACACATTATTTCGAGCATAATGTCAGCTTAACTAAACTTACTGCAAGAATGAAGTACAGAGCACGAGCAAACATTTGACTACCAATTAATAGGATAGACATACAAAGTGCAAGAATAACTATAGCATACAGGTAACTCCACCAGTGATTTTCACCAGGTAGTACGCCATCGAATAAAATACCTTGGAAAAAGAATAAATACAAACAAAAATATGAAACTAGTACAAGCTAAAACGTTAAGTGTTAAGTATCATCAATACTTCTGACCCAGAATTAGGACGCATATAATACAGTTCCTATAGTTGAAGTTCAAAATCGTATTTTAAAACTAGTCTATCATTATTTTTCAGTGACTCGACGAGCAGTCTCAGTTGCGCATTGTGAAGGCTGACATCAGGAGTAACAAGAGCTTATTACAATGGACGATTTTTGTTTCGCTGCTAACACAGCAACAAGTAACGTGATTATGTCAGAATATATCACCGATACGAATATATACTAAAAACGAACACTTTTTGTGATTAGCGAAATAACCTAGTATAAATGAATTTTATACGAAAACGTTTGGAGCCTCCAACAACAAAACTATGGGTCAGAAATTAACCTTCATCTGTGAGCACAATTTTAAAGAATCTTTCATCTTCAAAACAGCACTACCTAATGAAAAAGAAACATTTATAGTTGAACTATTAAAAAGAAAACATTATGGCTTTACGACTAATTAGGAGTATACCTCAGTGAGTCTAGTCTCTGACAACGGACTTCAACTAGTGGTCAAAATAACCGACTTCCAACAACCTGAGTGTAAATTTTACATTGTTTTCAGAGTTCATAACGAGTGAGTAAAATCTTAAGCGCTCAAATAACAGGCGTGGCCAACCAAAGAATATAAATCTATGAAGGTGGTTACTGAGCTGCAGTATTTTATTGCAAGTCCTAAATACACCAACCGGTGAGTAAAAATCACATAAAAACTCATCAGCGAAAAATAAGTACGACTGACAAGGTTTATATTTCGATTGCAAAGATTATTCAAGTATAATTTCTCGTAGTTATATTTACAAAAACCAACTAACCTCCAGGACCGAAATTTATTAGCACAGCTTCCACTAATCCCGCTATATACAAAGCAGCACTACAAACTTGTGCGAAGAAAAATATCGATCCAATAGCTCCACCGAATTCAGGACCTAAAGTCCTACTAAGCATGACTAATTGATTTTTTCATAAAGGAAATCGGTTACAGTTAATATGTGAAAACAGTTTCAGAAAACACAAAAACGTGTTGATGTATACCGTGATAACTGTCTCACTTTGAATAAGAACTTGAGAACTGGACGAATACATCTCTACACAACATTCAGTTTCGGCGTAGAGTATGACATGATGGTTGTGAATTGGTTGATAAAACCTAAAACCTTAATCATTTAGTTTATCTGGGACATGTTTGGTCAAAACCTCCCCCGAAGCAATGCTGGCTGGCGTAGGACCAGTGTAGAAAGCTGCATGTGTCTAAACAAAGAAATCCCAACAGTCTGTGAAGTCATTATTGGATAGAGGCATTTATGGAGGGGCGAACTTTCTGGTTGCCGGAGCAGTACCCATGTTCAATGGCTGTCGACCTTCAGTCCCAATGCAATATCCTTATTTATTTTTTACCTTTGTTTAAATTGAAACTTATAATATTATTTCATGAACTATCAAAAGCCGTCCAGCACTCCTAGGTTTCCAATGGTGGTTTAACTAAGATCAGTTCGTGATCTAAACTATGAAAATTACATTAAAATCTTGACTTATTTGCTCTTCCTCTACCTGTTATTGACAAAGCATGGTAACTCAGGCCGCTACACATCATTTATGATTAATTATACAGTATCCGAAATGTTTCAAACTCGTGAACATAGGGTATGTATGTATTATTGTCTAGAAACCTCATGATTCTCATAGTCAACGATTAAAGGAAATACGGTTAATGTGGTCATTCTGAATCATTTCAACCGGAGTATATGATTATCGAGAACATGTTACGACAATACTATTCGAGTTTCAGGTATGGTATTGTTATAACGAAGCAGGTACCCTTGACCTAATTTTAAAAAATCAGATTTATCATCGACATTATATATCATAACTAGTGAAACTTCTGAGTGGCTTCATATTCAATTCAATTACTTAATTCTCTCCTTTATGTGTAGGCACTTTTGGATCCACAATGAATAATTTTACAAATTTTTACCAAATGAACTTTGATTAAAGTGTAATTACTCTGATTTATTGGTTAACAACTAGTACTTCCTACGCGAACAGTTCACCTTGCTTGATAAACTTTTAAGAAGGCACTTCATCCAGAATTAATCACAAAAATTAATAAATCAGCTAAACCATTGTCCCTATTATAAAAGACTACAAGCAGTATCACCACAAGTTTGAAATAAATATAAAATTCTTCGGTAACAATTCAGTTCAGCTAAAGCCACCTTCGATACAGGTGTACATGTATACACAATGGTAAAAAATATGAGATTAGTAATTTTATATACCAATGACACAATCTAATCAGATTTCCTACAATTAAAAACAATCTGAGGTGACGATGAAAAATTAAGCATAAAAATCATTGAACGACTCATTTTCTCACGATCACTTCTAATTACAATAGAAAAGGATACAATACACACCTCCTCCTTCAACTGCTCCATTTGTACTGATTGCGCATATAGAAAATACAGTCAGCAGCAGGATGAAATAAGATAAAAATAGTTGTAATATACTTTCCAGCAAACCAGCATGAGCAATAATAAACCCTACGCGAGAAGCAATTTTTTATAGAGAACACTAGACGTACCTAAACGTAGAAATATTACACTACTGAACTGAGATAATGTTACAGAGCAAAACACGCCACCAAATGTGTTCAACGTACGACGCGAAATGACAACATTGTCATCAAGCGGTTTATTAATGTCGGCCATTGGGTTTTATGGATTAGTTTTTAGGCTATACCATCACTGAGGGACAAATATCCAAAAGTACCATATGAGAATATTGATCTACATGGAAGAAAGGAAACTGAATGAACATAATAATATAAATTCGCCCAAATATTACGTATCGCGATAGGACCACACGAAATTCTACCGATTGACCAAATTCAGATATCCTAGTTCGACCCCAATACTGTTCCCCAACTCCAATAAATCAGAACACAGCCGTTAAATGAGAATTGTTTATGGGGTCAGCAGCAGAACAAAAATGGTTTACAGACAAGGCATATTTATACAGTTACGATGACTATTAACAGTAACCAATGTAAAGGAAGGACACGTAAAGGTTATAATTAGGACAACTCAAAATTGACCAATAGAGAAACGATACATGAAAGTCATAGTTAGGACAACTGTAAATAATGGCCAATAGAAAATAACATGCGAATTATGTGAAGTCTGAAAACATACCACTTTACATTCGAGATAATTTTTGGGATAATCTTGTGAATATCCTAACACATAAATAGTCATTAGTAATAACAATAATAATCTTGATAACCCAAATAATATGTGACTATGCGTCCTTCTTTCTATCTATGGGATTACTATGGTGTTTCCCCGTGTTAGAAATATGGATGAATCACCAAGGCCTTTAGTTTTTAAACGTCGGGTTCAAAATTTGAAACCTGACTTACTTATTGAGGTTTTGACAGTCATATATCGGTTAACTCTAGAAAGCCAGATGAACACAACATGCTACCACATTAACAGTAAGCGAATCCCATATTCGCATTTTATTCCACCTTCGGTTATATGTCTATCTATGACAACAAAGGATGATTAACAAGTTCACTGTTGCGCTACGTCTACAAACATTCTCACTGACCTTTACTAAATTCACATCATAGGACGAACGATGTTATTGGTGAACTTGTCAGTGGGATAAAATGCGAACGAATTTCATGAAAAAACATAACTTGCCTTCGTTTAGTCAACTTGTGGATGAAAGCGCGATCAACGGTAATTGACATAAACAGTGATTTATGTTTCATTAATAGCAGTCAAAACTGAAATTAATTGTTATGAAAACCTACCAACTGTAATAGCATCCGGTAGTCACAACAATGAAATGACTCTGGACGATAATGATACGTGAAAGAAGTGAAATCGTTAATCCATTTCTTGTAGGATGTAATGACGTTTATTTGCGTTTACAGAAGTTCATAAACCGGGAAGAACAGATAAATATGGCATTTATGAATTTGAAGTGTGTTGTGTGGTGTTTACTACGATTTGGGATTAAAAACCCATCTTCTAAGATATGTTGAACTTTGGTAGAGTACTTGTGATTTTGAAACATAGAACCTGCGTATAAATATACACGGACTTTCGATTTCAAGGAGCTCTAGTCAACAATTATGGCGTATACTAGGACGCATCGCTGCCCCTAGGTTTAGTGACGTGTTCATGATAAGTATCTATGAAGGGAATACTAAGCCGGTCGAATTTAACGAAATATCTGCGGACAGCATTTCTGAATTAAAAGAAATGAGCGATGTGGAACTGTATAGTGTCAAGTTCAATAGACGCATAACCATTAAACTGGTCGCTGTAGCCCGTGACGCACCTGCTCGTTCAAATGCTACATACACAGGTAATCACAATCGGAAAGCAGGTCGCGATAGGTGTGTTGTGGAGGGTCGGCACCTTGACGGAAGGATGACATCTCCAAATGGTGAACATACATTGCAAACCGATGATAGTTCTCGTCAGTAGATTCAACTCACCATCAAGGCCATTTCAATTTCGAAACATTTGTCATTAATATGATTTCAACATTCCCTTTAAATCCAATAAACGCGGTATACTTAGGTGTGACGAAGAAACTAATCAATCTGTGGACAGATCTCTCTCACAAAAGACTTAGAAACATGAGCAAACCTGTAATCATGGACATAAATAAGTTAACATCAAGTTGTGTTGCAAGCATTCCCTTATACTTTCAGCGTAAATGTCGGACATCAGACTTTGTCTCAGCATGGAAAGAGACAGTGTCGATTGTTTGTTTTTCTGTATTTAAGCCCCGTAATCCTTCAGCATTGTTTACCACAACCATTGTACCTGGATTTCAAACATTTAGCATTAGTGAGTCCCAGATTACATATCAGCACAACAGATTCGGTCAGAGATGATTAACTTAATTTTCTTAAGGAATATGAATGGTGTTATGGACCTGAAAACTTAGTTTATAATGTGCATTTGTTGAACCATCTTCCTGATGACATTCGCACACATGGAGCTTTAGATTATTTTTCCGCCTTCTCATTTGAGTCTTGTATAAGGCAGATTAAGAAATCAGTGCATAGCGGATACGCTGCAGCAAAGCAAGTAGTCCAGTATTATGAGATATATTTATGTGGTAGGTTGCATTCTAGCATATCGGCCACTACTTTACAAACATTCGATGTGTTTGGCCCCGAAAAACAATTATGCTTATGAACACGGAAATACCTTAATTTAGACCCGAAAATGTAACAATAGTACACAGAAAGTCTGGGTTGGTCACTGATACAGAGGAAAACGGATTATTGAAATTTAGACCGTTCACAGACTCACGTGACTATTTCACCTGACAATTACCTTCTAGTGATATAGGAATATTTGTGTGCTCGGTAGTTAGTCACGAGCAAATATGGGTTGACTGTAAATGTATTACTGTTAAGTGTTATTAACGTAGTAATTATTCCATTGTTGTATACGTCCAAGTGAATATATTCTTTAAATCCTTGCTGATGGTATTACTCTACACCATTTCCTTACCTTCTGCATACTGTTAAGCCGACTAATAAACAGTTCGTACTTATCGACGCACCAAGCAGGAAGCAGGTTCTGATTGTAGCAAAACAGTGGATTGTGGGGAAAGAACTTTAATGACCTTGTTGATATGCACCTACAAAACAGTGCACCTGAAGGTGCCAGCCATTTTACTGTAATTAACACTTTATCTAGAAGAGCATTTCAGAAGTGCATGTTTTACCGGTGCATACGAAGCGAGAACTTTTTTTCAAAACATCCAGGCGCATTAACAACTCGGTTCCTGTCCTCATCCGTCAACGAAAAAGAACTTGCAAAAACTGAAAGACGTCGCTACGCAAGGGTATTTTCACGACATGAAACAAAACACAAAAGCGTCATCGAAGAAAACAAGATCATGTATGTACCATTTGAAGTTGTAACTATTCACTGCTGTTCTATAGGTGGGATGTTCAGTATTAGAGAACATAACCGTGAGTCATACTTTCGGCTGCTTATTGAATTACAGCCGTTTGATGCCGTTGCAAGTTTCTGTGTTCATTAAATTTTAGAATTCACAGGGAGATTACTTCGCTTCGCAATAGTGACATTGCAATTAAATTAAGACATCATTGAAATATTGTTTGTGTTTAATTTAATTATTATTTAAGCTTCTTCCCACCATGTGCAGAATTTCCGATATAAATGTGAAACTCCAGAAATAATGGAGTGCATGTTGCGAAAACCTGTTTGACTTCATGACTACTTATGAATAACGATATTCCTTATCAATAACAAATTGCCTGTATTTTGTTTTTGAAGTTCTTCGTAAATGACATTAAGACTTGGCACTTACAATGAAAGTAAATAACGATCATCGCTCGGGGATGTCATTATTACCCTTGTACAATATGATACCCCTTTCATCCCACTTACTCGCTTTATTTAATTGGTTGTTTGAGGATACCCTTTACGTGGTATAGTGCACATTGAGATCACTGTTACAAAATTTATTACTTGAAGAATGAACTACACACACTTAGACAGCGGCATGTGTAGCAAGCAACACTTGTGAGATACGAACATTCACCAACTTACCGTTAAAATCCAAATAACCGAAACTATTAAGTGGTGATAGTAACCTCCTCAAGGACATGACCTAAGAAGGACAAATAACTGCGAATATGCAAAACAATCTTTTAGTAGCATGATATTGCCTATTGTAAATCAATGTTATTATTTAAACATTTTCATGCATTACAAACGGTTAGGAATGATTTAACCCTCTCTTACTAAGATGTTAATTCGCTCTGTTAAAATACTTTTCGTGTGCAAGCATGAATTACAATTTTGACAACACCGTGCATCGACCTTTTGTGGTTTCAAATTCCATACATCATATTTATCGGTGTTTATCCCATTAAGTACGCATGGAAAAAGATTATTCATTCCTAGCTGCAGGCGCTCAGTCAAGCACAAACATCAAATCACTATTGAGTACTCAATGCTGTGCGTCACTCATAACAATCGGTCAGCTAAGATCATCGACTTCTCGACACATCTACCAACTTCCAAATGTGCCTCTGAACTCCTACATCCTTAGCTTCTAGATTGACTAACTTTTACATATTCGATTAGAAAGGTGTTGTAGCTGTAAATAATTCCCCAAAATCAATAGCTCATTAAGTGTTCGACATTGGATGCTGACCACGTTGTTTAAGTGGACTTGTTTAGCTGAAGGCTTTCGGTCATGCATCCGCACCAGATCACGTTTCAATACTGCGTGGGACACAGCTCCTACGTTTCATTAGCCAGCTCATAGAAAAGGTCCTCGATATATTGGTAACGAATCAAATATATCTTTCCTGCCTCTTCTCGTTTGACTTCTGATTTTCTATCTGACAGGGAACGACCGAATTTAGAAGGTGCTACTGGTATCTAGTTGTAAAACTAGAATATCCGTTGCATCATCATTGGTGAACCCGACGTGATCTGGTACACCAAGTCAATATACTGTGAGTCTGTTCCATTTTGGAATATTATTATTTATTGTTATTCTTTATTTGAATTTTATATATTGTGATATACCTTTTTTTTCTCGGATATATTTTACTTAGACATTTTTCGATATCTATATTACTATGACGGAACACTCTCCTAAGGTTCTTAAGTTTAAGTCTATTCCCCCTATTTCGATTCAGTTAACGCCATTTTGGCCCGACAATATCGAGTCCTGGTTCTGCTACGCAGAAGCCGATTTTTGCATGCACGGAATCACGGACTCGCGCACACGTTTCCTCGCGGTAGTTAAGGCGTTACCGCGCGAGTTTAACAGGTACGTAACACCTAGTATGTTTACTAGTGATGTTTCCGAACCTTACGAATCGCTTAAGCTATCGATTTTAAAACGAGGAGACCTAACTGATCGACAACGGTTAGACCAACTCTTCCATAACATCGACTTGCAACATGGTTCTGCGACGGACATGTTGTTTAGAATGAGAGAAGTCATCGGCCAACGAACTTTTGATGATGGCCTATTTAGACAACTTTTCTTGTCTAAACTCCCTCAACAGGTGCAGGCAGTGCTTGTTTCATTTCAAAACAATGCCATAGATGAACTAGCTGCATCTGCCGATCGAATCTTGGAAATCACTAGATCTTCTAAGGCCGAGGTTTTTTCCGTCAAAGAAAAACCCCAATCGACCTCGACTGACATGGCCGAACTATGTCACACGCTTACACGATATCTTAGAGTTCGCAATGACCGTAGTCGGTCAAAAACCCCGCGTAGAAGTGCCTCACGTAAGCGATCTGGCTCTCGACCACGAGAGACAGACAATCCCGACTGGTGCTGGTATCATAACCAGTACGGTAAGTTTTCCAGAAATTGCAGGAAACCTTGTAATTATCCGACCCCAAAATCGAGTGACACGAATAAGATTTCGGGAAACTTCCCAGCCGGCACACGTTAACGGCAACCGTAGCCGGCGAACACAGCCGCCTCTTATATGTCACGGATGTGACTACGAAAGTTCGCTACCTCGTCGACACTGGCGCAGAAGTTAGCGTTCTTCCAGCAAATATCGACGACAGACTTCGCGAGTCTGTTTTAAGTTTACAGGCGGCAAACGGAAAGCCGATCGCTACTTACGGTAAAAGGTACGTCTACCTTAACGTGGGTTTACGTAAACCCATACACTGGATTTTCGTGGTTGCAGATGTCTCTATGCCAATCATTGGTATTGACCTGTTACAACACCACAATCTACTCATCGACACACGCGCACGAAGGTTAATGGACGGAAACACTATGTTGTCCGTTTGCGTAACTCCTTGTTCTGGTTGCAGGTTATCCCCAGTCACGATTAAGCACGCCATAGACCCCTTGTACCAAGCAGTACTCGACAAATACCCCGGGATATACCAATCGCAATCGAAATTACCTTGTGTAACCAGCAATGTTACACATCACATCTCGACTACAGGACCACCTGTATTTTCGAAAGCCCGAAGACTCGCTCCCGAAAAACTTAGGTTAGCTAAAAACGAATTCAACCACATGATGGACCTAGGAATAATTCGACCATCGAATAGTCCATGGGCATCCCCATTGCACATGGTCCCTAAAAAGGACAGCAATGATTGGCGGCCAACTGGTGATTATCGGCGTCTGAATGCTAAAACCATTCCCGATCGTTACCCGCTGCCTCATATTCACGATTTGACAGCTACCTTGAAGGGTACAACTGTCTTTTCGAAAATCGACTTGGTTAAAGCTTATAACCAAATCCCGATGGCACCTGACGACATTCCTAAAACCGCCATCATCACTCCCTTCGGTCTTTACGAATTTCTACGAATGCCCTTTGGTTTAAGAAACGCGGCTCAATCCTTCCAAAGGTTTATAGACGACGTCTTCCGAGGTCTCAACTTCGTGCATGCGTATGTTGATGACTGTCTAATAGCAAGTCCGGACAAAGAATCGCATCTCAAGCATCTGGACATTGTTTTCGATCGACTCCAAAGGCATGGCATTACTGTCAACATTCAGAAATGCCAAATCGGAACTAACTGCTTAGACTTCTTAGGACACACTATTGATGCTCAAGGCATCCGACCACTTAGGAGCAAAGTGGCGGCCATTCTGGATTACCCAGAACCGACCACGATCAAGCAGTTACGAACTTTCAACGGATTCGTGAGTTTCTATAGACGGTTTATACCTAAATGCGCATCCCTAATGAAACCGTTAACCGATCAGCTTCGTGGAAATGCGAAATCAATTAGTTTAGACGACATAGCTCGTAAAGCATTTTCCACAGTTAAGGAACACATCGCTAAAGCAACCTTGCTTGCTCATCAGGACAGTCAAGCGCCCATTAGTATCGCCGTAGACGCATCCGAATCAGCAATCGGAGCAGTCTTACAACAATGGGTTAACAACTCGTGGCAACCTTTAGGATTTTTCTCGAGACGGTTGCTAGACGCGGAATCTAGGTACAGCACGTTCGGTAGGGAACTCCTAGCTATGTATTGTGCTGTACGGCATTTTCAACATTCCATCGAAGGAAGAGAATTCACGCTCTTTACCGATCACAAACCTCTTATCTTCTCTTTAAGTTCATCTTCAGACATGAGAACGTTATCAAGCACTGAATATCTTTAACATCATTATATTTAACAGCCTAAAGTTATAGCTCAGAATATTATGCTCTACAAAGCTGCATATTTCTATTATCCAGCTACACAGTACTGATAAGTTTTACAAAGGTTGCTCAATCAATTTTCAAATACGACTGCAGTATCGTGGAAATCTAAAATATCGTCGTCATATTCTTGCTGTTGCTGGCATATTAAAGGTCTATGATCAGTCCCTGAATACAATCCTGAAAACTTATTACCTAACCTATTGACAATTTTATTGTGAATAATCACGAACAACAACTGCTCGCTCAGATTAATAGATGTCGTTAGTAAAAAGGCTAGTGACAGTACTAGAGAACACTGTTACTTTTGATTGACATTCTCATATCGTCTTTTGATTTAACCTCAGTATACTTCTGCCCTGATTAGTAGGGCTAAAATTGAACAAATCAACCAAAATTTTTCCATCTCTCTTATGAACGTACAAATGCAAGTGGCCCTGACATTCTAACTACGTTGACAATTTCAATCTACTTACTCTCTCGATTTAGTATTTCTCAGACAATATTAAATAAGGAGACAAGGAGTAGATAAAGAAATCGTATTTCATGACAGTTACACAATCATAAGCGGGAAATCGCCAAATACACACCCAACAGTAATTCATACCAACATGGCAAAACTATAGCAACTCAGATACAATTGAGTTTGTTTACACCTAATCTGGAGAAGCCCTTTTGTTAACTTATTTAATGGACAGTCATTCATACAATAACAACCTATCTATACCGTTGTACTTTTATTATATACGCTTGAACATTGCTTACTGCCTACGCATGTATTCATTCCGCTAGCATTATTATTAATCGCTTAATTGATCCAATGACTCATGCTTTTCCACTTATATATATATATTTACATATATATATGTACATCTTAAACCTGTTTGCTGCTTGCTCTCTGCTCTGCTCTACGCTACACCGTATTGTACACGCTTACTCACTCATTCGGCTCTCACGCTCACTCGACTGTTTTACGGCATTGCTCTTTCATGCTTGCTTAACGTGCCTGTAATATTGGATACCTGTGTGTGGTGCAATAATAAACGCGATCAGCCCTTCGTATTCGCCTTCTGATTTATACACCGTTAGGACGTTATCGAGTTACGGTTATCAAGACGAACAATATACGAAGTTAAGGATAATATCGAATATCGACCACCACAAAACTTTCATTTATCATGTATTATGCCAAGTGCTCATGTTCAGTCTCTCCTAACTTTGAAAGTTATCAGGCTTTCAGTGTTTGGAAAAGTCTAACTCAGATTATCATTTCAAGTGAATTAATCTGAGCTGCAACGTTCTACTTGATTCAGAAAAGTACATAACAAAAAACAATAACAGAAATAATGTTGTAAGAAAATGTTCAAAAAAGTATGAAGTGAATGAAACCCCTGACTTATAGTATTACACCAAAACAGACGGTGAAATGTGTTTAAAAAAATCTACTCACAAAATGTATAT